TGTCAGGGGGCACAAGTTTTGATTATACAGCGGGGTCCCTGGCCAAATGGGATGGGATCCCTCATTATAAGAAAAAATAGTGTTTGGCAATGAAGATCAAGAGCATTTTCTTGTTGACAAGTGAGAAAGTTATTGTAGTGTAAAGTGAATATCAAAATCTGGGCATTAAGGATTAAATGAAGTTTGTAACAAATGTTCCACACAAAGAAAATGAGATGTCCATTAAAATCAGAAAGGTCACAAGAACATTTTTCCTAATGGAATTCTCAAATGACACTTAAACAGTCTTTGCCTCCGTTGGTGCTTATTACTTTGAAAAGTGATACAAAATCTTTTTTTTTTCCCAACAAGGACATTGCAGTCCACACTATTTTTAGTTTTCCTCATATTGTGACTGAAATCTAAACTGCTGTAAATTGGTTTAATTGGCAATGCCTCAATTCAATCCATGCCTCTTATTTGTTTCCTTAAGAAATATACACTATATTGTGTAGTGTTGTACTCAGGCAACACATTAACACCACAAATTAACCAGTTTACCTCATACTATGGAAACCTTCCCAAAATGCATTGAGTGTTCCAACTCTAGCACTATTCACAAAATAAAATTTAGGAGCAAATCGCTAAGGACTGAGATATTGTTTCCACATGGCAAAGACCCCTGACAGTACCTTGGTGAAAAGGTACAATAGGGGGTGATTTTTGGTACAGTCCATGTCATAGATTTAATAATTAATTTGTTATATTGTTTCACACTTTTTGAAAGCTTTTTTAATATGTAAAGTTGCACATAGATTTTCCCCAAATTACAGGGTTCTCCACACGTTTAAGGATAATGTTGAGCCTAATGTAGCAAAGATTTAAAAATGGTCATATAAAAAAACTATTAAGCTTCCTATCAATCAGCATTTCACAGATCCCCCTTTGGCCTTGATAACATAAAAAAGTGCTTAATGTAAACATTCATGTACAGTACATACAAACTATGATTATTATTATTTTTATGGCATATAAAAGAAGCATGGCCAGGCTAAATCATTACTTATAAAATGTAAATAATTATATTTAAAATAATACTAACAAGAATGGATTACATGAAAAATTTGCTGCTAAAGAAATGGGACCATTTCATCTAAATGACACATTTGCAACATAGTTTTATCAATTTTGTGCCATGTGTCCACAGTAATGCTGCTGCCTTGCACACGAAGAGGAGCATAGCAGCAACTGTATGCTGTATGTATGTATGCTATATGTATGCAGTACTGTATGCTACTGTATCTTCTTCATATGTTCCCAGTATCAGGGAGCCTCTTATTTTCCAAAGGACATTCCATACTGTGACTGCACAAGAAAATCAGGAATGCCAAGCAGGGATAAGTGATGTTTCAAACTTTATTTTTTATGTAATTCAACATAATTTATATGGTACTGAATCCTATCTAGTTTACAGTATGTGAACATATGAAGTTCCTTTCCCAAGGGTACAGCAGCAGTGTCACACCTGGGTTGTGGTCTGTAGCCATGACCTCTACTCTGCTCCTCTGTCTTACTTTAGTTTTTATCAGCCTTATTCCCTGAAACCATTCTTTCTCCCTGCAGTCAAGAAAAGCTAACTAAATGGATATAAGGTCAATGTGGATGCAATAGTGCTGTACACCTGAGACTCTGACCCTTTTTTAAGCGAAGACTGGGTCTTCAGAAGGTTAGTCTTGCTGTTTGTGGGTTTGCAATGTTGGTCCTTCCTCTGTTGCACCATTGTAACTTTACAGCTACATTATTTCAAGTGCAGTAAAAGACATGAAAAAAGGTGGGTTTTCAATAAAGGTTAAAATCCAATAACGATGACAAACCATGACCTTACAGTATATTATTCAGAGCTTGCTGGGAGCTTGTATTGCTGTGTGTCTCTGACAAGTGCAAACTCTTGCTAGACAATATGTTGGGAAGCAGTTTAACAGTGAATGGGTCAGAGGAAACTGCACATACTGCAGTAGTGGTTCCTACCCTGTTGGTGAACGTGTTGTAGCAGAGAACTAGGATGAGAAACAACTGGGAAAAAAGTATAAAATAAGACACAGAATAAAAAAATAACCAAGTTAATTTCCTGACTTCAGAGGTGGGGTGCCAGAACAAAAAGATACAGTGGCAACAAATAAGCTACGGATAAACATAATTTAATTAACAACAAAAATAAATAACTGCTACAAATGAAGTATCCATACATTTGCCCGCAAAACAAACAAAAATAGTCTACATTTTGTGTGCTTCATGGGATAAACCTTTTGATTTTTTAGGGTTTTATAGTGTAACAGGAAACGTCTACCTATAGGTAGTGAACCATTACAAAAATAACAGACAAACTCCAAATCCCGGCAAGACTTTTATAATACCACAAACAAGTGAAGATTAAGTATTTACTATCTGAAATGGACAGGTGTTTTTAGTGAGGAAAGGAAATAAGGTACTGTAACATTGTGATGCACAAGGTTCTGTGATTTTTGTTTGATAATTGAGACTGAGTTTATCTCTTATCTTTACCATACAGTAAATTCTGAGAACATATTCTATAATACAGGGAAAGCCGGTAGGAAGCTGGGACTCTGCTCTAAGCTGTTTCTTATACTAACCTACAACACATGCTATAGATTTATTTTTCCTTCTTGTTAAACATGTTATTGTTATTTGCTGTCAGAACAACAACCACTTTGAGAGCAATGATACAGGTGCCCATATAATATAGCTGTTAAGAATGTAAAACATAAACGGATAGACTACATTTCCATAAATGTTGTTCATGTCATTTTTGATTTTTTTCTGTCTCTGTCACAGCTTGTTTTTATCTGTTTCTAAAACTATTAGGACACAAGATGCGCTCATTCATAACTAGCTTTAGGCAGATATTGTTGAACTATTAAGAAAGGATGAGAACTCAAAAATAATAAGAATGACAATTGAATAACAACATTAAATTAAAATAAAATAGCAAAGATATTAGTGTGAGTTGTGTTGATCACTGTACAATGGATGAGTGCTGATGACATCCCATCACCTTCATCCAAACTTACCCACACTCAAAGTGCAAGAAAATGGAGAATGCTGTCTGTAGTCACTTCATTAAATCTGACCTTTGGTGGACACCCCTCATTTGATGTTTAAATACATTGCTGACTAATGTGAATTTCATATTTCATTTACAGTACTTTTACAGTACTGCTGTTAACCACCAATTTAGACAAGTGTTCATTAAAACAGGCAATATGAATAAACATACTTGTTAATCTTTCCTATATACAGTAGACTAACTAAAACATTTTTGTTGTTTGTTCACAGGTGCAAACAGGAGGTTAAAAGGCATAAGATAAGTGTTTTGTTGCTTAAACTACAGTAGTTCTGTTATCAGTTGTAACCCAGAGACTGTCTGTATCCCCGTCTTTTAATGCTTTATGACTAATTCAATTACAATACATACTTGACTACAATAATCCCAAACTCTCTTGGCTCTGTGCCACATTTCTCAATTCATTTCAAGACTCTGTCTCTGTGTTGTTATTTATTGAATTAATTAGTAGGACATTCCCCAAACAGTAAGTTTTATTTGGAGCTTTACATTGGAGCTCATATTAACATGTACATTGGGACAGAAAAGAATATTGGAAAAAGGCCATTCCATAAAAGCCAAAATGGAGCCTTGTAGGCAAAACAATTATGCACTACAGCTTGTAAAGCTGCCCAGAACTATTATAGTTGCTGAAAGGATCCCCAAAGACTTAAATAACCATTAAATTGAGTCAAGGCTTTTTTTCTGGACTGATGGTTAATGGTGCTGGCTGACTCATGTTTTAGTGAAAGCTGGCAGCACGTAGAGATTAATATGATCTTAGAAAGGTAGTTTTCAACATCACTTACAGAGACAGGATGTTAGCATCTTAAAATATCCTGCATTTCTAAATATTTTATATCAATCAGCTCAGAGCAGGGATCTTTATGTTGCTTTTACTCTCTCCTTTTCTGCTTCTTCTTTGTTACCTCTCCATTCTCCTCTCCTCTCAGATCATGGGACTAATCTGGGATTTTATGAACCACATTCTTCAACCACTTGATAGGGTAAAATTGTGGAAATTGTATGTGGAAGACCCGATTACACATAAGCACCTGGGTCAAAAATAAAAGTTCAACTCTCTACATCACTGTACACCATGCTTTTGTAGGCACAAATAAATGAAAATAATACATCCCTATATTGGCCCTCAAGCAGGTGATTAGCAGTTCTTGCAACATCTGTGAAAACTGACAAAAATGTCAATTCTAGTTGAAAATTACATGTAGAGCACTTCATAATAAAAAGAAACTGTCAAATTCCACTTTCCCTAACTGTTAGAACACCAACAAACAGAAGGACGGAGAAGTTGTTCATTTTGTCAATGGAGGCAAGATTCAGCAGTTTGTCATTATAATGCCTCCAAATATCATATCGAAAACAAGTTTGCTCTATTTAAAGACCTTGTAGTGCAGGGCAAGTCACTAGTCACAACATCCTAAATAAGTAATAATGCCACCAAAAATGTGAAAAAAGGGGAAAGTGGAGGTTATTTGATTCTTTGTTCTCAGGATCACCACAAGTGAAATAGCCTTCAAGGACTGTGAAGTAGCATAAATGGAGAAAATTTAGAAGAAAAGTAGTCTGTCGTTAAGAGAAGGGGGAAGGTGTGATCCTAGCTGCAGGATAATTTTGGTTTCTGTAGTCTTTTTTTGATGTATGAGTTCGGAAGACCGTCTTTGAGAACACAGACGGAGAGATTAGAGTGGTCAAATTTTCTCCATTCATTGGAAGTTTAATTTCCCACCTCTCTACACCTATTCTGACTTCACACCTCTTGACTGGCCTCTCTTTCTGTCCCCTGCTCCCGCCTCGTGCTCCTCCTCCCTCCCAACCTTTGTTCTCCTGCTACATTACCTTTGCCTACTGCCTTGTCTTTTTCACACCTGAAGAAGGCTCTATAGCCAAAACGTTGTGTTTTCTTTCTTCTTTTTTTTCAGCATGGAATAAACCTATTACTTGTTACTTTCCAGAGTAGACAGGTTCCTGGCAAAAAGGACAGGTGAAGACCCAGTTGTACTTGTTCTTGTTCGGACACATGACGATTGTTTAAACAACTTACTTTCTATAAGAAACACATTGAAAGACTTTTGTTAGACTAGATAAAAACCACTAAATGACTTGGTCTTGATGGGAATTTCTCAGTGATACCGAAGAGAATAAGAAATTATTCAAAGACCCCAGCGAGGACATTGCATCTTACACTTAGAATGGGATCTGCACCCATAGATTGGAGAACAGCACGTTTAACACCAGTTTATGAAAAGGAAGACAAAATTGAACCAGGAAATTACAGGCCAAATAGTCTTCTGTTAGAGGTAAAGTTTTAGACACAATAAATTAATCTACATTAGGAATTAGATTAAATTAGAAATCTGAAAACAACATTTTATTGACATGGATTTAGAAAAAGTTCCTGTCAAACTCACTGAAGTCTTAGAACAGGCATCGGAGATAAAATTAAAGCAAATAATGAATATATTGTAAACTGCTGGAAAGCTTTTGATAGAGCTCTCAAAAAGTCTGATTCTTTAATCAATCTAAAGTAATTTATGCATGTGGATCTTACAGCTTAAGAAATAATTCAAAGAAGTGAAATAAGACTGGTGGCTGATTTCAAGGGATTGTCATATCCAGACAGGTTAAGGGAAATTAATCTCTTTGGTCTAAGACAAAGGAGATTTAGAGAAGATTTGATTTAACCATATAAAACTATAAAGATTATAGGTAGGGTTAACCCAGGAGGCTATTTCACACTCCATAATGAAACAGAGACAAAGGAGCACAATTGCAATCTAAAAGGAATTTCATTTAGAATTATTAAGGAAGATTAAGGAAATAGAGATTAATGAAACTATTCCTTGTAGAAAGAATTGTGTGCATCTGCACCATGTTTCACAGCCAGGAGGCTGAGGCTCAAACTATGAGCACTTTTAAGAAACCGCTAAATGAAATGTCAGTTTAATTTTCAGTTTCACATAGCTACTAAACTATCAAACATGCAAGGGGCTCTGGAAGCACCTTGTACCCTTGAGCAATGCCACCAACTGGATTGTTCCAGTCAAATGACCTACTGTACAAAAGTGTGCAAATTATTTTGGTGTACCAAATAAATTAATAATGATCGCACAGGTTGTGCGTAAAACACTAGGGAGATCAGAAAATTAACTTATAGACATGCCTAATGATTCCTTTCGTACTCAATTTGACAGAGCACCTGTAAGAGAGAATGAGTCTATTGAGCTAGTCTTTTCAAATTATCAACACAGAATAAATAAAACAGGCCAGAGAACCATTAGGGAACTGTGATTATGATGTGGCATGCTTCAGAAAGCAGAAGGAATGAGACAGATTAAGATACATTATGTGAAATAGAACAGATATATCCCGCATAGAATAGATAAAATAGAATGGAATCAGCAGAGATACTTCTCTAGTGTAAGTAAATCAAAGGCTAGAACACTAGAGGCCCAAATAGGTTAGGGCCTTTGTTAGGAAAGGTATAAGGAGAAGGAAAGCACTGTATAACATGACTAAAAAAGAAGAGCATCCAGTTAAAGAATTTAACTGCAGTAAATTGAAGGCATATTTTAAAATGCCAAGAGAGAATAAAAGGTTTCTGTATTATACATAGCTAAAGAACAATAATGGATGAGGTGACTCAGAGAAAACAGTAGGAATGTTTTAGATGAAAGGAAAATAAAGGAAAATATCTAAAATATTAAATGAATATTTCACTTGGATATTTACCAATAAAGATGTTGAAAGCTTGTCAGAAACAGTAAGATAATTAATGTAGCATGCATCCATAACATAGGACATTGTACTGTATTTACAGACTTTGACAGATCATTAGTTCAGAACAGTAACAATCTATTCCCTTGACTTGCATTTCAGAGCCTGCATCATACGGTCTCATATATGCTGTATCATGAAAACATCTATTTGTGATCCTGAGATTTTGCAGCATTTCAACTGAATTGACCTGCCATTGCCAGTCAGTGAAACCAACATTCTATTTCTCTTAAATTTCACTCTTTCTGGTTTGTGTATAATGTAAGTATACTGTTCTGACAACTGATTGTGTTTCACAACTTCGACGCCCACTCTTGTCCTGTGCGGCACTAACACTAACTCTTCACCCCACTATAACTCTCAGATTCCATAGGAAAATACCCTTTTTAACAGTTTTTTGTAAATGTCCAAACATCCCTTAGTCAAAGCTAACAACATGCTGGAGGAGAGGCTTAAAATACAATAATATCTTCCAGGACAACTATAAAAATATCCATTCATCCATTTTCTTTCTCCAATTCAAGGTTGTGGGGGAACTGCTGTCAGTGATATTCTCCATGTTGCATCTTTGCTGGAGTCTTGCTGTAATTTAAGTAGAATATACTGTAGCATAGATTTCTATGTTGAGTGAAGACCGATTAACCTTTTTTAAAAAAAGGAATCTACCTGTGTACACACAAAATTAAAAATAAACACCTAAAGCTACTGTACATTTGGAATCCAGAAATCCTGTAAATCTCTCAATAAATTTCATTGTGCCAAATATGGGAAGTGCTTGTTGTTCAAGATTCAGACTGAATAGTCCTGCTCAGATCCTTTCAGTAAACTTACAGTTTTTCAGCTTCATTGGTTTGTGCTCCTCATTTTCACTTTTTAGTTTTGGTGCATGTACTCTATGTGGTACCATCTTTTGTGCCTATTGGTCACCTTGCCTAAGCCGCTCTTCTACAATTGTTTTGAGTGTTTAAATCCAACTCTTAAAGATTCTTACAATCATATTTATTTGCTTTAAGATTAATCCATTGGCAATTTATATAAATCTGCTGGTGCAAATTTAATTGCGTTAATAGCCTATAAATTCCAGGAAAACAAATGAACATCTAATCATGTAAGCAAACATTGAGTGGAATGTGTTTGCTCGACACCCTAATCAAAAAGTATGTATTTTCTCAAGAACAGACTTTGCCCATTGCCCTTGAACCTAGACTAAACACCTTGATCTATGATACAAAAAGGACCATTGCAACTTACTAGATGTCTGTGAGCTTGTACAGATATCAATGAGAGCCACTTCACTCCTCCCAGCTAAAGACATGAAAACTGGAAAGTTGCTCAGAGGAGTTTGCAGGAGTTTGGGACAGTTCAACAAAAATGATGTGGAAATATAAACAGGGAGTGGCAAGTTGAACTAGATTTATCTATCAAAAGATGGGAAGGATAGATTATAGCATTCTCAGCCACATGTTGTCCTAGAATATACAGCTGAGTATGGAACATTAAAAACTTGTTTCAGAACATCTTTGGAAGAGACTCATATTATTGCATTTCTTCAATCGGGATCAATTAAATCTCTGCTCCAGAAGTGAGCAAGAGCAGCCTTATTGTACTTTCTTAATCAAATCAGTCTGAGCACTATAGCTTGCCCTTTCAGATATAATGACTGTGGTGGGATAATGCCTCCCATATGCTTTTAACACATTATGGCACGTCTATCCTCAGATAGGATTACCACCTCTGTCTAGCACTTAAAGGCATTTGAAGGGAGCAAGAGTTACAGGTGGAGACATGTAAACTGATTACCAGAATAATATTTAATAAGTTAGTATCTGAAGTGTTTTTTGTAACATAAGGCTCAGTCTACAGTCTTCCAAGTGCTTATTGTTATACTGTATATCAGCATGTGGGGGATGAGATAAAGTAGTCAGATCAAAAAAGAAATGGATAGAAATGGCCAGTGTGTTGCAAAACGTGGATTATTATAAGGTAGTGCAGAGAAATCAAATGAATTTCTGTCTTTATCCAATATTTTATCCAATGCAGGGTCATAAGTGAGCCAGAACCTTTCCAGTAAGCAACAAAAAAGTACAAGGCATGATGCACCCTGGATGGGCCGCCAGTCCATCGCAGGGCATAAACAGACACACACTCACTCACATTAGGGCCAGTTTTCCCAGAAGCCAATTAAGTATTAAATGTCTTGGGAATGCGGGTAGAAATTGGAGCACCTGGAGGAAACTCAGGAGAGAACATATAAACTCAACAGCCATGCAGATAACACCTCAGGAAGCCCAGGGCCCCAGAACTGCAAAGCAGCAGTTCAAACCACTGAGCCACCATGCCACCTGAAAAAAACTCTAATCAATCACCCTGTCTTTTTCTCTCTTTTCATCTCTGAAGGTCTCTCTTAACTCAGTGGATCTGCTTACTGTCCCTAGACAGCAGATAAACATTAATTACCACACCAAGAAGTCTTCAATTCCTGCTTCTATGTATAATACTTATCTGAGCTTTTGTTTCCCTCCAACAACTTCAGTGAGAACAGGTGACAGATCATCCCCATGGATTTAGGGAATACATGAGATTGTAAACGAAGAGGTAAAGAAGAAGAAGGCTCCACAGCCGAAACATTGTGTCTCTTTTCTTTTCCTTTCAGCATGGAATAAACCTTTATCTGTTCCTTTGTTGCCTATGCATGCTGACACAGCTACTGTACTTACTTGAACAGGGGATTGTAGTTGAGGCAAGGACTTCCAACTTGCCTTGCCACTTTAACCTTCTACATATCCCCCATGTTGCTGAGAGAGACCATTTATTGTCTCCCTCAGCAATTAAACTCTCTCCAACAAGCTCCCCACTCCAGAATGAATGCATTAAAACAGAGGGGACTGGTCAGGAGCACCTCCATTCCCTCTGGGTAGTGAGCCCACCTTATCAGCTGGTCTATTCCCATTAAGTCTGGCTGTAGGATCATAAGCTTCCGACATCAAACTTTCTCAGGCAGCCTCAACAAGATAATCCATCCTTTTAGGATTCAAGGACAGCAGCACCATCCCCATGTTTTACTGATGAAGATACTCTTTCTGTGTAGTTGGGGAGTAGCATCCCATTAGCTAGGTGTGGTGGCGACTCCGTGTTGACTTCAGGCCTTTCCTCCAGTTAAGGCCCAGTCAGCAGTACCCTCTCATTCCTTCCAGCCTCTTATAGCAATTCTGCAATTCTCATTGCAATAGTGGTGATGACACCTTCTCTCTTATGTGGGACTCTTTGTAAAACTTTATTTACATTTTCTTCCCCAGAATCCCCTGATGTCTCCTTTTACTGTTGTCGTCTTTTTCAAAGGGACCTCTGGAGGTTGTGCTTTGATTGTGCTTGATCCTGCCAAGGTTTGTTTAATAGCTAGTGACATACTGTACCTCCTTAAAAAACAAATAATTACAACTGACTTGTGAAGAATGACTTACTTAACTTTCAAGCAAGCATCATATAATTGACTTGAATAGCATATGTTGTATTTCATCTAATGGCCATTCACAAATCTCAACAGCTCTAAATACATCTATGGGCATGTGTCACAGATTTTGCTAAGAAATTCAAAGTAATAGACACAATAAATTCATAGGGACACATCATATAGATAATTATATTTGAAAACATGAAAACATGAAATTGTGTATGAATTGGCTTCATCACTCTGTTCTCCTCCCCACTGATGATGTGTGGTGAGTCGCACTATGGCTGCCGTTGCATCATCCAGGTGGGTGCTGCACATTTTTGGTGGTGAAGGTGAGTCCCCATTACCCGTTGTAACGGAGGCGTTCTTTCCAGACCCTATGCAGACGACACAATCCGGCATAGAGCAAGGAAAACACAGGGGGGGAAAGCATGCAGGAGTCGGGAATGAAAACAGGGGGCATATCCAAGGTGCGCAGGTGTTCTGGGGGGTGAATCCAAGGCAAACTGTCCAAAAGGGAGTCCAAAGGGAAATCCAAGATGTAGCAAATGTCCAGAGCCAGGGGGTCCATCAGAGACAAAAACAAATGGAATTAAAAACCAGAGCGGGATCCGGTGGAGGGTCAGGGGAAACGGGACCAGACGCTACAGGTCCCGGAACCAATGCAGAGCCCAGAATAGAGTGAGCGTCTGGCTTTTAAGGTGGGCTGGACAGCAGGCTGGAACAGGGGGCAGGTGCACAAAATCAAAACAGAAGTGAAAGAGCAGGAGCGCCCTTAAGGGGGAGGGACTACAATCGTGACACCTGTAAAGCGCTTTGAGTGGAGTGTCCAGAAAAGCACTATATAAGTATAAGAAATTATTAATTATTATTTAAAAAACAGAAAACATAATGTGACATTCATATTTGCAGGACATGTACAGTATTCAGTTCCAGAAGATATACACAATATCAACAAACTACTACAGTACATGTAGTTCATTTAAAAAGAATTCAGGTAGCTACAGCTTTTCAACTTTTCACCAAGCCTTCATTTCACAGGAGCCTCATAAATAAACAAGGAATAAAAGCATTTAGCTCAGATACAAACTTTCAATCTGATTTATCCTAATTTATGAACTACATAACTTTTTACTGTTTCATTGTGGTTAATGTGCTGATCAATCATTTTGAAATAAAAAGAAGAATGTTCATTAAGCAAAATACAGTTATCTCAATGACCAACTAGGAAGCAAGTGAGAATGTAGGATGATTTTCATATGTGCTTACTGTACTGTATGTGTTTCTTTTGACACCTGTCTAAATATGTTTTTTTCATTTGCTGTTATGCTGAGAAACCATGTGTGACAATGTGGATTGTGGGTACAGGGGTACAAGTAAAGGTTACTTTTATCCTGAAAGCAGAAAGCCTTCTTCAGGTGTGAGTCCAGAAGCCTTGACAGCTGAAATGCTGTGTTTCTTCTTTCTGCTTTTCACTGTGACATTAAGATGTACTGTACTTGTTTCTCTACAGTCAATGCACACTAATGGCACTCCCCACCCAAACCACCAAAGTCTGTATTCCTTAGATGATAACTTAAGGCCTGATCTCTCTCTGCAGCAAACTCAAGGTCAAATCTTATATTTGTGCTTTGCCTCTCCAGCCCTTTTATTTCTAAATTATCTCTGGCACATGCTGTATTCTAACACTGTTCTTTATGCATGGCCTATTTTTGCTGCTCTATGGGGAAATGTGTTCTCTGTTCTCCGAGCTGCACAAGACCATATCTGGACAAACAGTTCTAAAATTTTCAAAAGCTTCTATCCATTTGCTAATTTCGGGCTTCTGTTAATTCATTTTTTATGTAACACACCATACCTGAAAATTAAGTAGTTCAGTTCTCCTTCTCTAGGTGAAACACACCTGTAATGCATGCAATGAGATATGACTTGCTAGTGCCAATTGTAGTTCAGAATTAATAAAAATGCATTTCTTTCAGAGTACTGAAAATCTCCAGCTATGTTCTTTCTACTTTTCCCCAATGATTTATTTTTACTTCCTGCAAAGTGCCTTCCAATTTAATGGCTACTGTGGCTTGCGATAAACAGTTGCACACTACAGGTTTACCATTCTGGAGCAGTCTTGTTCTCTTTTTCCTCAGATTGTAATCGATTGTTAGCAACCCAAGTTCATTCATTTTGTGTTGTTAAAGTCATCTCTACTATATTCTTTGCATTAAGGGAAATTCCTTATTTTCCTTGTGAATAATATGTGCCACTCATTGCTTTTTGCACAGATCAGAGAAAACTTCTGTGCTTGATGTGCAGGTGTA